CTCAGAGGTGCCCCCGCCCGGCCGGGCAGCACTGCGCAGCCTCCCTGGGGGCGCCCCCGCCCGCCCGGCAGCACTGCGTGGCCTCCCCGGGGGCGCCTCTGCCCAGCCCGGCAGCACTGTGTGGCACCCCTGAGGCACCCCGGGCTATGGCCTGGCCGGTCTGTAGTTTGGGCCGACTTTGACTCCAGCCCTGCAAGCTGGAAGGCAGAAGCTGAAGGTAAGGTAAGGGAGGGGAGGGGGGGAAAAAAGAGTAGGGAGGGGAAGGGGACAACAATAAGATGAGGGAGGGGGGCAGGTCAGCAAAAGAAAGGGGAAGGCACCAAGGGACAGGGTAGCGGAGACACAAATGCCAGGGGGCCAAGTGCAGACAATGAGGAAAAGGGCAGGAGGGGAGGTGTCAGTGGGAGGGGGACAGGGTGATGCTGGGAGAGGAAAGGGTAAGGGTATTGGGGGTTAGAGGGGAGAGGGGGAGGTTCTGGGAGAAGGCTTGAAAGAAGGGATGGGCATGAGGAAGGCAGGGATGGAGCAAGTCACGTGTGAGGGCACAGGGGCATGAGGAGACTGGGGGCAGAAGGTGGTGAGGGGGAGGGCATCAGGGAAAAAGAGGGCAAAGGGGGCACGGAAAGTGAGGGAAGGGGAGGCACCAGGAGGGTGTAGGCTAAGGGAAGGCAGGTGCCAGGAGATTATGGGGGTGAAGCAGAAGGGTAGAGACCTGCAGGGGAGGGACCAGCACCAGAGGAGAGAGACAGGGCAGGTGTGTAGAGGAAGGTGTTAGGAGAGGGGATGAGGAGGGATAGTTCACATGATCAGAGTGGGGCTCCTGGAGGAATGGGCACAGGGGGGAGAGAAGGGCTGGTGGAGGGGGGCAGGTTGCAGGAGGGCTGAGGGCAGTGAGAAGGGCAGGAGTCAGGACAGCAGAGGAGGGTGAGGGGTTGGGGGGCAGCAGGCACCAGGGGAGGCAGAGGGAAAAGGTAGAGGTTTGAGATATGTATTAATAACTTGGGTGCCACAGTGGCACATCCAAACAAGTCCCATGAACTCAGTACTGGTGCACAACACAAAATTCATTCTGTTCATGGGAGGAAACTCTTAGAGGGATACTTCCCCCAGCCTCTACACCCCCGAGTTAATGTCACACACTTTGGGTTAATGCAATTGCAGGATAGTTGCATGAGGGGGGTTTGGTGGGGGTCAAATTAATCCCTATTGTTAGGAGGATGGTGGGAAAAGTACGGGGCAGGGGGTGTCACATGACATCTTTTACTTCTGGTCATGTGTCCATCTTGTCCTGAGAATGTTACTTCCAGAGGTGTGGCCCATGGGGCTCAGGGGTGTGGCCAATGGGGACCAAAGTACATTTTAAAAAAATTCTTTGGGTGCACACTCTAATTAAATGTGCTGTGCACGCCTATGCTCAAGACAACGGATTCAGCCCAGTAACCAGTGGGACTTTATATTCCCCCTTCAACTGGACAAACCCTTCTTTTATATACTGATACAAACAAGTTACATATTGTCCTTTGACACTGTTACTTACCATCCTTTATCTTGTACTAACTGGTTCAAGCAAAACATCTCTATCCATCACCATGTCATCCTGACCTTTTCTTTAAGAGTGATTAGTATGTCCTTGTACCATTTTGGAGAGTGTGTTTACACCATAAACCTGAATTCAGGTATTCTGGCACTACCCTTCTGAAATGTATTTACATGAATACTTAATGCTTTGTGTTTTTGCAGTGCCAGTCTTGCTCTTGCCAAATTAATCTGCTTTGTAACTGGACAGAACCTGAGTTGGCTGGACTCTTGATAACTCTGTTTAATATTAGCAGGCCTTGTCTCTGTTTGGACCTTAAGTCTTACACTAGGCCTTTTATACCAGGCCCCATATCTCAGGCTCTCTTTCTTCCACACTAGTCACTTTTTATGTTACTTTCTAATACTGAACGTATTGGATGACTAAGCAAATTATAGCTCAGCACAGATTTGCCAGATGGTTTAATCAAAAATACCAAACCCCTCCCCCTCCCCCCCAAAAAAGAAAACACCGGGGAAACAATTCTTTTGAGGGGGGAAAAATTAAATAATAAAACAGCATTAAAACAGCATGGCCCCTTTCAGTGTGTGTACAGAGTCAGAATAGTGATAGGAACAGGGGCACGGTTGAGCACTAATACCCAGGGAAGGCATTGCTTCCCCTTGGTCTTTAGGCTTTTTGCTGGCAGCCATTTTTTCTTGATCAAGCCAGAATGCAGCTTCCCTGTGGAACCAGGTAAGCAGGAGGTCTGGGGGTTTCAGAGGCCCAGGCATGGGGGATGCTGGGGGCTGGGCCCAGTTACCGAGTGTGTCGTAGGGTTGCCAGGTGTCTAGTATTTTCTCCTCCTGGCCAGGAAAAAAAATCAGAAAATACCGGACATTTTAGGTGTCCGGTATTTTCTGAAATTTTTTTACTGGACAGGAGGTGAAAATACCGGACTGTCTGTGTCAATACCAGACACCTGGCAACCCTAGCTCAACATAGCAGAGAAACATGTGGAAACATTTGAGAAATGTGTGTGTATTCACTGTGGAGCAGTCACAAGCACAGCTTTCAGCCCTCCCATTGCTTATATTTTTTGTTTTCATAATTGGGTGATATCTCCTAACTACATATTGGCAAACAGTAACAAACCAATGCATAGCAAAATCACTTCAATATGATCTCTTAGAACTTCTCATGCAATGTGCAACATGCTAGCGTGGAGCTAGAACCATGCTTGTATACTTTGCAATATGGATATCATTTCATTGTTTTATTCATACAGCAACACCTGCTGAAAAAAGTAGCACATCACGAGGGGGCAGAAAGATTTCAGTAATTAAATGGAAAACTTGCAGCCACTGTGCTTTTTCAGACACACTACTCTTTTTTTCTCCTGGCTTTAGTACATTGTACCATTCTGAATTCAACATGCATTTGAGATGAGTCAAATGTAAGCGCAAACAGTGGTATAGTTTTGTTAAAATTCTTTTAAAAGGTTATGTAAGGGAACCAGGAATTCTAGTTTCTCTTGAAACTGAGATGCTTTCACAGTGCAGGTGAAAGAACTGGCAACTGGGTAATTAAACATTTCCTCTTCAATGTTTACATTCTTCAAATAACTGCAGGTGATCATATTGCCTGCAAGTATTGCACACTATTACCATCGCTGGGAGTTACCCAGGCTTATGTCAGAACTGAATGTAGTCCAATGATTCTATCACTGGGCATAATTCCAAAAACTGTGACAATGTTTATTTTTATTTAGAATTTAGAAAGGTAAAACTGTAGAAGTTATGCAGAATTCAACTGTTCTTCAATCAGTAGGTTTTAAGTATTTTGTCTCCCCACAAATTGCTGTAAAATACAAATAGACACATGCATCTATGCATAAAAAAATACATATGATTATAGATGCAGTATGCGAGTTATTTAGTTTCCTTTTTCTTTAGTGCTCTGCTATTTCTCTTCCCTCTCCTAAATTTAACAGATAGTCCCAACTACAAACAATAAGCTTTTTTTACACTAACATTAGTCACCACAAATATATAATGTACAGGGGAAGTTACCAATGCACTTGTTGTTCACAGGATTCCAATTATATTAAATATTGGTCACACAAATTGGCCAGATAACTTATCTTTTTGCTATGATTTTGCAAAAATCTATTTATGCCACACACATGCAAAAAGGTTCTATTTTCCTGCTATTTCTTCAGTTTGTTCATTGGCATGCCACAGGAGGGGATTCAGTGTAGGTGAATGAAGGAGGGCATTAGGTAAGTATGCACATCAGCAAGAGGCAGAAAGGTAGCATGGGAAACTGCCTTGGAGAAAGCAGGCACAGGCTTGCAGGAAATGGTGGTTGTTTTCTCATGCTCCTAAAGAACGAAGGCAGGCACCTTCACCAGGTAGCAGCTTCTAAATTGTTACAGGGTAGTGTTCCATTCAGATGGGGCTTAAGAACCTCTATGATACCTGCCTCTTCCTGCATACCTGCCCACCCCTTCTCTAAGAGAATGTATAGTACACAAACAATGTAAGTTATGTTTCTGTTTAATGGCTGGTCTACTAGATGACAATAGCTTACTATTTCTAATATCTTAAGTTGCTCTTTTAAATCAAATAACAGAAGCCTGTGTTGCAGTGTGGTCCCGTGTTCAAATATGTCTGACTACCGAGAGAGAGATATGAAGAAGAGCTCTGCATAGCTCAAAAGCTTGACTTTTTCACCAGCAGATGTTGGTTCAATAAAAGATACTATCTTGCTCACCTCGTTTTTCTAGTACTCTTATAGAAGTCTGTTATGAGTATCTAAGTCTTTCCTGCTGCTACCTGTCCTTATTCCCCAATCAATGAGCCATACCAATTAACAAATGATTTCTTCATCAATGGCACTGTTGCAGAGTTTAGTGTAAATCTGCCACATAATGCAGAAGGGTTTCTTATGCAGTTTAAATCTACGTACCATGTATTCTTCCTCCTGTTATTCCTCTCAAGTATAGATATGATCATCATGAATCTGGTCTTGATTTGCACTATCAATCTTGCATCAAAAGATTAAAAGCCCAACCCCAGTTCTCTGAACTAAACATTTTCCCCAAAACATTAAAGAAGTGGTGAACTCTGAAAGTGAAAACAGACTAAACTGCACAGTGTAACCCTGGGTATATTAATCAGTGAAGAATATTGGTAGGGTATAAACAAAATGGAGTCTTTATGACCTCCATTTTGTGAGAGGGATAGAATTCAGTTATAGAACACAAGTTTTCCCACCAAGCCAGTGTTTGCACTCAGTCCACTTTTTGCACTCCTCTCAAACATTGTGCACTTTGTCCCCTTGAAGTTGCACTCATTCCTCAAGGTTGCACACATCCCGCTGAACTGCTGCACATGACCTTGATTTAATGCACTCAGTACACAAGTCTCTTTTCCCACCTAAGAGCCAGTAAAAGCCTTAGGCAGAAGAAGGCTTGGGTTCCTTTTTCCTTTCCTTCCCGTTCCGTTCCTTTTTTGGTTTCTTCTGTTCCTGTTTTATTTAACATTTATGGACATTGTGGTATATGTGGATCCTGTTGTGTGATTAACTTACGTGGCACCTGCGTGTGCAGATATCCCATGTGAGGGGATCAGGCTGGAGTTAGCAGCAGCTGGACTTTTGTCACCTTTCCACAACCCTTCTGGACCGAGTGACTCTACTGAAGGGTTAGTCACCACTGTATCCACAGAAGAGCCATTGTCCAGACAGTTGAGGATCACCTAGCAGCCTTACGTCAACAGGCTTCGAGGGATCTCCTCGCTGGTCCTCCTCCGAGGCTCCAAAATAGCCAAAGAGTTGTAGGTCGTGAGCTCCGACGGTGAGATTGTAACATATATTCCATTTTGTCTACGGTCTTTTCTATCTTTTTCTGTTTCTAGGGATAGGGCGAGTTATATTCGAAGCTGTTCCTGTGTTTGCTATTTTAAAGTCTTTAAAATATATGGTTTGGCCCTAAATTTGTGTGTGTCTGTCATTTAGACAAAGAGGTCCCCGGTGATAGAGATTAAGGATTTATCAGGCAAGATAAAGGCTTCTTGATTCAGGGACAATTAATATCTTCAGTCAGAGCGAGTCGAATTTATATTCAAATTCATTTCATAATTGTTACAGCGTTAGATTCTTAGTGCTGCTGATTGATGTAACTAGCTAAGGCTGTAAAAGATTGAGAACCACCACATGAGCAGCTTTGTGCTATCTCTGCAATGAGAATAGCTAGGAGGAGACCGTCTTGATTATCCAGTCTCTGCTATAACTGAGAGGGTCTGCAGCAGCTCAGCAAAAGCAGGGCGACCTGCAGGTTTCTGAAAAACAAAGCAAAGGGTAACTCTAAGGTACAGCCTGATCTGACATAAAAGTAGACTTTTCATAAGCAGAATACCTAGAACACCGTTACACATGTACATTTTCAGGAAAAAAAGTTGTATGTTATCATCTGGAGGAAAATCATGGCTTTGTAATATAAATGTGCTAGCTGATGGGAGTGCTTTCTGAACAACAGCATCACGAGCATAGACGCATTTGGAACGTAAATCTAAGGGCAAGTATACTCTCAAGTGCTACATTCATGCAGCTACACCATGGGAGACAGAAACTATGTCTGAAAAAATGAGGAAGAATGGCTCTTGCGCAAGAGGAGAGTTTTGCACAAAAAGGAGCCGCCTACACAGCTCCTTTTTGCGCAAAAGCCTCTTACACAAAAACAGCCCCTAATTAATTACGCAAATGAAGCGTGGCAATATGCTAATCTGTGCTTCATTTGCATAGGCTTTTGTGCAAGAGAGGTGCATTGTAGATGTAGCCATGGAGAAGTGCATCTTATGGAAGAATACAAATTACTAGAGGCTAGTTGGTCATATTGAGAGGGCATTCCATATAAAGAAGCAAGTCAAGAAAAAAGCACAGATAATTGCTTATCTGTGAGGCAGATAAACATGGCACCAAGTCAAGCATCATTAGCAAAACAGGAGGAATGTGGAAGAGGTGGAATAAGATAGCAGAGCCAGAGTCTTTGCTGCCCTGAACACTGTATTAACACGTGCAGGATGGATGTAAAACAGTGGGAAATCAGAATGGCAATTGTTTATACAGACTCTGCACATGTGTTGTACTCACATAAATGACTGCACAAGGCACTGGACAACAGAACTGTGCACCAGGTCCAACATATAAGCAGGGAAACAATTTTTAAGGTCTTGATGATGTGGAATAGGGAGAAGGGGATAGAGAAGGGAAAAATGAGAAGGGTTCAGACAGAGGGTCGTGAGTTCAGATTAAGTAGTGAATATATTAATATGTATTGGTTTTAATAGTTAAAAGAAACAGAAGCTTCTAATATTAGCCAGGATACATGAAAAACACATAAAAGATTCTGCGAATATCACAGAATGGAAGTTGGTGTTGAATTTCTCGCTCTTAATGACTGTCTTTAACTGTAGATCTAGAATGACAACCCTGGCAGTGGAATATCAATACATAGAACATGAAAATAAGAGAAACATACCTCATGCCAGCAGCTGTACATGACTTTGTACACAGTGAGTGATGCCAGATGTGGTTGATAAAGTCTGTAACCTTTGGAAATCTCATGGACAACTTCAGAATTTGACTTATTTTCAAAAGGCATTTTGCCCTCTGTAAAAACTTCCCACATTAAAACTCCTAGAAATAATACAGAAAATTAAATGTTCACAAAACTATTCTATCATAATAAGAAGGAGGAACACCAGAGATTTTCTTTCGTGGAACATCTGAGCTGTATTGAAAGAGAGGACCAGATTGAGAGAGAGGGCCAGACCTGTCCTCAGCTGAAGTAAATGAGAATAGCTACATTGACTTAAATGTAGCTGCACCAATTTATAATATGGAGCTGTAGCCAGGGTCACTGACAGCCTTCGTGCGCCTCTGGGCAAGGTGGAGGGGCTGATTCTGCACTTCCAGAAGAGGAGGGGCCTCAGGTGGAAGGAATGGGACAGAGGCAGCCAGTTCCCAGCACTGCTTGGAGCATGGAATGGCTCCATCTTCCCTCAGAGCTGCACAGAGCAAGCCGTGTGGTGCTCCAGCAGTAATTTAAAGGGCCACAGTAACAATGGTGGCAGCTGGGTGCCCAAGGCCCCTTTGAATCACTGGGCCGTGTGGCAACTGCGCCTTTTGCCCCTTCCCTCACCTCCCCAGTTGGCAGGCCTGGATGTACCAATACTATGATGGTAAACGGGAGAGGGTTTAGCCATGAGAATAACTAAAGGATTAGAAAGCATGCCTTATAGTGATAGATTAAAAAAGTTTAATCTATTTAGTTTAAGAAAGAGAAGATTAAGAGAAGACATGATTACAATCTATAAAGATCTACCTGGGGAACAAATAGATTCATTACAACTCAAGATAAATTATTTCTTATACAAATACACCTACTATAGTTATGTTCTGCAGTTTTTATAAGAAAAGTGAGGAGTTGCAAATTAGTTTAAACTGATCCACTCACCAAATGACCAGACATCAGATTTGCTGCTGTACTTGTTGAAATGAAAAACTTCAGGAGATGACCATTTGACTGGAAATTTGGCACCTGAAGAGCTGATATATTCATCATCGAGAACATATCTAAAGAAAACCAGGTAACATGTATTTAAATTAGAGTTCAGGTTGCACCTCCGAAAACCAGCTCTTTCTGGTCCAGCAACATCTATCGTCCTGCCAGATACTTCTGGACCAACCAGGCTGGAGGCTAAGGGTTGGAGGGCCAGCTGGGGTCAGGAGCAAGAGGATCAGCAGTTTGGGAGCAAGGATAGAATCTCTCAGCAGCCTGCAGCAGTGCAGAGCCAGAGCTCCGTGGCAATTGCATGAAGCGTGGATCTGGGGCCAGAGCGCCGCAGAAGCCCAAGGAGTATAGGGCTGAAGCCGGGGCGCTGCAGCAGGAGCCGGAGCCTGGGCCATCCAGAAAGCCAGCAGCAGCCGGGCAAGCAGCCCAGCCAGGTTGGGGATAGGGGAGGGCAAGGCAGGGTGCCTGGTAGGGCAGCCTGCCAGCAGCAAGCGATGGGCTTGGGGGCCAGTGGCAGGAGACCTCTCTTAGTCGGGCAAATTCTCTTGTTTGGGACCAGTCAGGTCCTGACAGTGCTGGACCAGGGAGGCCCAACCTATATTGGATAAATGTTTTAGTAGACCTATCCTTAAATGATTTATGATTATATAAAAACACTTACAGAAATATTGTGTCCATAGGGTAATACCTATTTCCTCTAAAGAATTCCAGCATGGATTAAGAGGCCCGTATACAGGAATTTCTGGGGGAGAGGGGGTGATTTTTTTGTAAATGTGGGCCACAAGGCTGCAAACGTACCCCTTGTAGTTCCTCAAGTGTGTTCCAGCAGGCCAAGGGAAGGCAGTAGTGGCGCACTGCTTGATCCTCCCTCCCCCATGCTCTGGTCAGCCAGGGGAAGCTGGGGCTGATTTTCCTTCCCTCCCCCAAAGGCGAGGCCCAGCCTCACTCCTGGCCTTACTCCTGGGGAGAAAGGGAATCTGCGTTCACATCCTTTCCACCCCTGGCCCTGCGTACGGGCCTGCTAACGTTAGGATCCCAATTTCTGATTTTGCAGGATGCAAAGGTTTATTTACAGAGACCTCATTGGAATAGCAGAACTACAGGCACTTAAAAGATTTGGTTTTCCAAAGTACTAAAGGTAATAGAAGCTACTGGGTTCTCAGCACTTTTGAAAACAAGATCACTTCTATACATGTGAGACAGGGAGTGCATATCCCGCACTTTAAGGGGGGGGACTAAGACTTGTGGGCGGAGGAAGTCCCACCCCTTCACTCAGACTGGGCATGCTTCAAGTGCTAGAACAGTATAAAAGGCAGCAGAGCAGCTCAGTCTGGGTGGATCAGAGAAGGACAAGGACCTCCTGCTGGAGCTCCTGAACTGCTGCAGCCAGCCACCCTGGCGGTGAGACCCGGAGACCCGGGTGACAGCCACAATGCAACCCGTGAGGAATTCCAGGGAGAAGAGGCTGAGGAGAGCTGGAAGACCCAGCTACCATATGGGATATTGATCCAAACAAAGCAGTAGGAAGTAACGCAGGGAGGGTGCAGGAGCAGCCTCTCCCACCCAGGTATCCTTGGCGTGTTTTGACTAGATTCCCTGCTGAGGGAGAGGCAGAATGTGCTGCTGTTCATAGGGCTGTGTAGACGCAGTTATTTTGACAGAAACCCTTCTTTTAAAATAACCCTTACTCCTTAAAAAATGAGGTTTAATGGTTATTTCAAAAGAAGGGGTTTCTTTCAAAATAACTGCATCTACACAGCATTTTTTATTTTAAAATAGGGTATTTCGAAATACTGGCTGGACGCGATTATGCAAATGATGCACGGGAAATTCAAATCCACACTTCATTTGCAATTTCGCTCGTCTGCATTTGCATTCCTCTCTCGGAAGAGGAATGAAATGTAGACATACCCTAGGGATCAGGTCTAAACCTACTCCTTGAGAGACCCTTTATACAGCTAACACCCAGCTTGAAGGGGTAAGATCTGAGCTAGCCAATTGGGCATGTGGAAGGAATGCTCTTAGTGTGTGTGGTGGGGGACACCCATGCTGGAAAATACTGGAAGGACAGCAGCTCTCCCCAGGGCTGCCCGGTCCTGCTCTGCACCTGTCCTGATATAGTGCAATAAAAGCTCCTGGGGAGAGGAGGGGAAATCAGCCCCAGCCTTTCTCCATTTGGCCAGAGCATGAGGGAGGGAGACTGGGACAACATGCCACCACAACCTTCCCCAGCCTGTCCAGAATTGACCTCATAGGGTACTATAGGGGACCATGAGAGGTGCGTTCACATCCTTCACACATGCCCTCAGATTAAGAACAGATATTATACATGATCCATACTCAAAAAGATGTTCTGGAACATTTGTTTAGATATTGCACTTCCCAGCACTCATTCATGCTAGCTGCCATATCAGGGAGACACATTGCATGATTTTCCTTACACTTTATACCTGTTGTAGGGGTAAACTGAGGCAGTCCATGGTATTTTGCTAAGAACCCCTAAGCTATCCTAAATTCAGGGTAGGCCTGGGAATGCACAGCACAAGCAGTTAACATCATCCTGGTCATCCTAGCAACCACATTCCAAGAGGGCCTCACTCTGATAAGACCCTGGCTCGTACCAAAACAAACTTCACGGAAGTCGTTCTCACTGTCTCCTTTAATCCTAGATAAGCCTGAGATCCAAAGACTATGCCAATGTGAGGTGGTATCATCTCACAGTAGATGCATCATAGTTTCAACAGATAAAATTGCCATTAAAATGCTTGTCTTGTTTATGTTGGCTTATTTAGCTTGTTAGGAATAACTACCTGTATTATTGATAAGATGTTTAATTGGCAATGAGTGGAGCTGCTGTGTAACCTTCATAGTTTATTGGCTTATGTGCTCATTACGTCTTGCCGCCAGACCCTATCGAATTGCTTCTACTCTGCCTATCTGTTGCCTATATAATCTATGGTAATGTTTTAATTAACTAGTGCTCTCCAGGTTAACCCCTGGTTGGTACTCCACTAGCTCTGGTGCATAATAAATCCTCTGGTTGTTTTCACCTGCATCCAGAATGTCCAGAATTATTCCCGACACCTGTATATATAATAATAACTCCATTTACACAAGTAAAAATCACCTGTAATTCCATTAAAAACAACGAAGGAAAGATCAGATTCATAATCTCTAATTTGTTATTTCCTACTGACAGAATTCCGGATTAATTCACATGAGATTCACTTTTAGCCATGTGTGCTAAATTTTTCTGTCAGCAGAATTATGCATGTCACCAATACAGCTAATTAAATATTCAGATACTACAGAGTACAATGTAAATGTGCAGGAAGATTTGATTAGTTAGAATTATAGTAGCACTTTTTTTGGTAATTGATTTAAATAAAATGGTGAAAATCCCTTACAAAATAATGTATACCAAATCAAATCATTCATGATATGCACTCAAATCATGTGCATAAAAAGCTTTATATTAAATGCGTGAATTGAACTGCACATGGACATATGTCCCCGTAAATGCCGATACAGGCTTTGAGATTCACAAGGAGAGGCATAATTAAATCCCCCTTATTATACACTATTAAAAGTCGTCTCCATACTCTTGGCAAGCAAGTCAAAAATAAATTAATTATTCTGTCTCTTTTTAAATAGACTTTTCCAAGAATTTGTTGTACCTGACAATCAGTGGCAAGAAACTATGACATACATAAATTGTTAGTGAAATCTTCTACCTTGTTTCATGGCTAGCTATGCATTATCTGAGTTCTGCATATTAGTACAGATGGAGTTTTAGGGGGGCCCAGAGCATAATCTGAAACGCAGGCCTGCAACCCTTCCAAAAATGGCCTTGGAGATTAAAAAGTTTAAGAATAACCACAAATCATGAAACCAAGCATGCAAAAACACTGATGGAAGGCCTCGGGATGGTGGGTTTGGAAAGTGAGTCTGTCATATTCAGCTTGATATTGGAAGTTGTGGAAGACAGGAGGTTAATTCAACTTGACACTTCATCATTGCTAGTTGAAAATATTTCCAGTGTAGTTAAGATTCATTACTGTTATTATTAGGGCTCGTCGAACTGCAGTGAGATCCAGCCGCACTGTCCGGCGATCTGCACCCAAACCCGATTGCTCCGAGTTGCAATCTACTCGCCATGGGCGAGTAGATTGCATTATTTGTCGAGCCCTGGTTATTATACATAATTGTTGCATACCTTGTCATTCCAAAGTCAGATATTTTAACTATATTCCTGGCATTGACTAAACAGTTCCTTGCAGCCTATAGGAAAATGAGAAAAACATATATTTGAAATCTTACTAAAGACTCCCAAGAAAAATGCAACAGCTTGCTAGTATTTTATTCATGCAGTTTTCTGTGTTATTGTAGCTATGTTGGTCCCAAGATATCAAAGAAACTAAATTTTGCATTGAATATCCCCCCACAGCACATCTTTCAATATGCATGGATCCGATGCATGCCTTTCACAATGTGGTATCTCTCATCAGGTGCACTAAATATCCCAGTAACAAGCAGATTGTCACTATGATCTCAAATGAACTCACATGAAAATATGATGAGATAAAAACCACATAACACCTTTGAGTGAACACTTTCCACAAAATTATCATTATCTGACCTCTCTGTCCTCATCCTCAAAGAAAACCTACACACATTCAAAAGACAAGCCTGGGAGCTTAAATTAATACATTTGCTAGAGAATAAAAATCATGGTTTTATGCAGGCACTGGATTTATGGCTTACTACAACAATCTGTAATCCACTAACCCTGCATTTTTGTCCTATGATTGTAAAAGCGTGATAAATTGTCTCTTTCAACATGTATTAGTCACTTTTGCTAAACAATGTGTTTCATCTTGTATTTAGCTGTGGCACTTGGAATATCTTTCCCATACCAGAAGAAGAGCACTGTATACTCAAAATGCTTGTCTCTTTTCACCAACAGAAGTTGATCCAATAAAAGATATTACATTGTCTTATCACTCTTATTCATACAGTATCTTGTTAAATGTTCTTCTAGATGTCTTACACCAAACACATCCAAACTCAAGCAATACTAAAACGGAGCCAAAATAGTCTTTGTCAGTGGCGGCCTGTCCATAGAGGTGAACTAGGCGGTCACCTAGAGTGCCAAAGTTAAATGGCATTGAGGGGTTTGGAGGCGGGGGCACCGATCGTGCGCCGATCGCACATTTCGCCTAGGGTGCCAAGTGCTGACAGCTCATCTAAGGCTGCTCCTGGTCTTGGTAGGGTGTTTTGATGTTGCACTAATATGTTTGAGTTGTGGAAGAAGATCAGTTGTTGATGATGACGTGTTAAGACAACACAATATCTGGACTTGTTAAGACAATGTGTTAAGACAACACAATATCTGGGGAGGTCTAGGTTGGATATTAGGAAAAACTATTTCACCAGGAGGGTGATGAAGTACTGGAATGGGTTACCTAGGGAGGTGGTGGAATCTCCGTGGGATTGGTCCTGCTTTGAGCAGGGGGCTATACTTGATGGCCTCCTGAGGTCTCTTCCAGCTCTATGATTCTATGACTTTGACTTTCTCTGACTCCATTCAGACATTAAGGCCTGGTCTACACTAAAGGGGCAGATACGCAACTCCCACTACGTTAATAACGTACTTAGAGTTGAAAGATCTTAAATTGCATTTTGGCACCATTCACACAACGAGGTTAACAGGAGCACATGCTACTGTTGATTTCCTTTACTCCTTGTGAGGAGCAGGACTACCAGTGCCAATGGGAGCGCCCTCTCAGTTCCAATTAGTGTGTTTTCACTAGACCTGCTAATTTGAATCCCAAAAGATAGACTGCGGCAGCTCCGATCTCCTCTGTAGTGTAGACAAGTCCTAAGTGTTTTCTACTTCTTTGGTGGTGAATATCTTTTGTTTAAAGGGGGTTATAATAAAGTAAATGGCTTGTGAATTTCCAACATCAGCAATTGCCTACAGAAATTAAGAACATTTGTAGAAAACAGTTTAAATACGTTAATTTATACAGCACACCATATATATGCACATTTAAAGGATTTAAATAGTTTACAAAAATCTACAAACCACAATAAAAATGGTGATAGAAATGTAGCCGTGTTAGTCTGGTGTAGCTGAAACAAAATACAGGACTATGTAGCACTTTAAAGACTAACAAGATGGTTTATTAGATGATGAGCTTTCGTGGGCCAGACCCACTTCCTCAGATCAAATAGAGCTCATCATCTAATAAACCATCTTGTTAGTCTTTAAAGTGCTACATAGTCCTGTATTTTGCTTCACAATAAAAATGGTGAGCTTCAGAAATATTTCCCTGTTACAATATTTCCTCCATCAAAATAACATTGTGTTGGTCCACTGGATCCTGCATAGTTAACACTTACAAAATAGATCAGAATCTATAAGGTGCAATGACATGTATTTTGTGACTGCCACCGTAAATTACAGAAGACTTTCTATACTTACTAAATCACGATGAATAAATCTATTTCTTTCCAGATACTCCATCCCTTCACATACATCCTGGCACATGCTGAGTAGCATTTCATTGTTCAGCTTCCCTTGTCTTTGCCGAAGGTAATTGAGCAGGCAGCCATTTTCCACAAACTCAGTCACTATGTAGAGAGGCTTATGCTGTATGCATACTCCATAAAGCTGTACCAGCTTTGGGTGGGATAATTTCCTAACAACAAACGCATTTCAGTAACTAGACGTTTGCCACTGACAAGCAGAAATTTTGATTATTAAGATGATTTCAGGAATTACTTTGTGAAATGTTAATATATTTCAATGTACGATAAACTGTATTCAACTGCAACAGATATAAAACTGGTTATATCATGTACTATCATGCACTTCTTAATTCTAATCCTTTCTTAAATCACCCTTCTATATGAATTCTTTCAGTGATAGTCCACTGAAAAATTAAAAATAATAGTCAGGCACTGTATCAAGATTTGACCTTTCAATTCCTTGTCTTTCCAAACCAAACTGTGCCAGGCTTTGTGCTGTTGAATAGCTAGAAAGGAACAACAGTATACTTTTCAGTATATTTTCCCTAGTCAGGCTTCAAAACAGAAGTGACCTAAAGACACAGCGTTGCACTTACATCATGACTTTAGCTTCCTCAATGAAATCGTCTTCAGACATCGCGCCTTCATTGATTGCCTTAATGGCAACTTTGACAAGTGCTCTCCATTTACCCAGCTGAACAACTCCAAACTGGCCGCGCCCAACTTCTTTCATGAAAGTCAGCTCAGATGAATTTATCTCCCACTTCTCTGTAAAAATGAGCTCAACATGTTATTGCCATCCATCCCCAGACAGTCATGTCATAGTATTGATTAGCTGGCTCTATTTTGACATCCACAATGATTTTTTTCCTTCCACAAGTATTAGTTCTAGGAAATCTATGAAACTCTGCTGTTTTGGCATGCACAGGAAGGAGAGGCAAGTTTGGAGGCACTCATTCTGTATATGTATTCACCAGCCAGGTGATCTTTACTTACAACAGTTTGCACTCTATAAACCAGAACTCTCTGTCCGGCAACATCTGTGGTCTGGCAAGACCGTTGATGTTTCAGGATCAGAGAGTTCTGGCATGCTGGGGCGGGGGGGCTAGCGCAATGCAGTGTGGGGAGCCTGGCGTGCAACCCAGCTGGGCTGGCGTGGGAGCTAGGAAGCCTGGAATGCAGCCCTGCTGGGCTGGGGGAGGGGGCGAGAGCTGTGAAGCCTGGTGTGCAGCACAACTGGACTGGGGGGTGGGGAGCTGGGAGTGCCAGCACATAGCCCAAATGGATTGCAGAGGTGGGTGGGAAGCCCAGCGTGCGACCCAGCTGAGCTGCCCAGGGGAGCCAGAGAGCCTGGCACGTGGCTCAGCTGGGGTTGGGTGGGAGGGCAGAAAGGCCAACATGTGACCAGCTGGGCTGGAAGGGGGCCAGAGGGAGGGACAGGAAGTCCAATTCATGACCCAGCTGGGCTGCTGGGGGAGTTAGGAAGCCCAGTGGGGCAGCACAGTGGGGGAGGGGTGGCGGCAGCATGGGGCCAGAAATTACCTCCCTTGGTCTGGCAAAATCCCTCATTCGGGACCTATCAGCTCCCGAGGGTGCCAGATTAGGAAGATCCAACCTGTATTATAAATAAACCAAAATGATTTGTACTATTCTTTTATGCATTGTGAAATGTCATTTTTATTTCTAATACTTGCTTAGTTTGCAAGACCAATCTTTATCACAATTAACGTTACTATATCAATTGGCTATATACATTCACATAAGCTCCAGTGGCTCTTAAAAGACTATGAAGTCTTAGGTCTTGGTTTACAAAATGTGAGAAAATATATAAGTAATGCTAGTAATATGAGTAAGACCATTTTTCTAAAATGATACCTGTCCAGACAGGTATTTCATTGAGTTCTAAATGATGTAAAAATGGATAATTTCTATTGATGGACATGTGTTTTTATCTATATTACTAGAAGATTTACCCAGCATTGCATGGGTCCTGAACTCAATAAATTTTTGGTTTTCTTCATTTAAATCATTGCTCTGGGGTGGATCTGGGGATGAGGGATTCAGTATGCAGGTTGCCCCAAGGAGAGACGACAACCCTGGCTCTCTCTCCCAATAGCAGTTTGAGGCCACAGGTGAGAAGTTCTTCTCCATGGCAGCTGCAGTTCCAGCAGACACAGCTAGGGGAGGGGTGCATGTTTCCCAGCTGGAGAAAGCCCAACTTTGTTTGCCCTTTGCACTGCCCAGCCAGAGTGAGGAATGCAGAAAACTGTGCACTTTCCCCTCGCTCCCTGGCAAATGGGAGCAGCTAGAAATATACCTATATGCACTGGAGGGAGCTTCAGCCACACCCATCCTTCCTAAAGGGAATCTGGAGTTGGGAGGCTGGGGGTTGATGCAGTCCCAGATTGGGGTACACCATCACTGCCTGATTATTCTATTTCCTGTATTGTTTTAGGAGAAGCAACCCCATTCCAGACATATCCCATTTTCCTGGCACAACCAAACCCTTCCCTTGCTGGGCTACTCAACTTTGGAAGCTCTGGGGTCCACAATGATACTCACAGCACATGCTGAGGGTCGCAACTTAAGTGTGGTTGTATATACATGCAAATATATATGCAAATAGCTTTTCACATTGACGGGCATGAATACAAAGATTAAGGCAAGACTACACAACACACAGGCCCCATTTAAGTCAGTTCTGCTGATATTAATAAATATATTTATCTGATTTCCACCCATATGACAGCAGTTTTAATAAGCAATGACAGTCCAGAAATTTAACTACCAAAATGCATATCAACAAAAGACCATTATATTGACTACTTTTTTGTTTTGGTTCCCACCCGCATGTTGAGCCCCACGTAAACCCAAGTTGCACTGCGGGCCACCATCAAATAGGCCACGGGCCGCATGTAGCCCATGGGCCATGTGTTGAGTAGCCCTGCTTTAAGTTATGATAAGAGGAAGCTGTATATCGAATTTGGTGGCCCTAAATCTTACCATATAGGAGAAATACTTGTACAAATGGTGTACAGATGGATGAACAGACAGACTCTCGCAAATATATAGTATTATTACAGAGATTTTTTGTAGTGTACCTCAAAATAGCAGGATGAGAAGCATGATACAAAAACATAGGGAGATACCTACAATTCTATTACAGGTTGGACTTCCCTGGTCCAGCACCCTCGGTCCGAACCATGGAGTTTGCAGGACCAGGGGAGGTCAAGGCTCTTCTCTGGGAGGAGACTGGTCTTCCCTCCCCACTGCTAGCCCCATGCTGGGGCTCCCAGGATCAGCTGGTGGCTCCTTTCTGCTGGGGTCCTGGCCAGGCCAGGCCAGAGCTTCCCATTAGCCCCAGGCCAGGGCCGTGGATTCCCTCTGGCTGCCACCTGCCCCGCTCCTGCTGTGGGATCCCCGCTGGCCACTGCTGGCCCCACTTCCACTGGGGATCCCTCAGCTGCCACTGCCCTGTTTTCCCCCTCCCCCCAGCCACTGCTTGCCCTGCTTCCACTGCAGTTTCCAGCTGGAGAGTCTCTGCACCCACAGCTGGCTCAGATGCTGCCTGGGTTCCTGGCTGGGACAGGGGATTCCTCTCAGCTGCTGCAGGGGCTCTCCGGCCTGGAGCTCCCCACAGCTGGACTCCCCACCACCATAGGACTAGTCTCTGCAAGCCCAACTGGGACTCCCAGCACCCGTGGGATTCCCAGCTGACTCATGCTCCTCGCTTCCAGAGCTCTTTTGTCCAGCAACATCCATGGTCTTTCCTTTCAGACAACGAATATTGCCAGACAGAGAGTCCCGGATTTGTGAAGTTCAACTGTAAAACAATACCTCAGACTTTACCATAACTAAATCCTGCTGTTGCTGGTAAACAACTGCCCATTGATCCAATTGGATGTCGGAGGCGGGTGATGAGACCTATTGGTGACAAAGTGATAATATTCTTTAGAACAATTATCCTATTATATATATATATCTACCTTAGCTTCCTTTTTGGTGTATATCTACACGTTTCTTACTCATTCAGTTACTTTTCTCTGTATTTTTTATGACTCTTTCAGGTGTAGCCCTATTGAAAAGGAGGAACTGGGGGAACAGTCCCTGGATGGGTGGGGTGAGAACACTGGCATTTTGCAGCCTGTCTGGCAGGTATTAAAAGGTGGGAAGACAAATACATTATTACTGTTTCCAAAATGGCATAGGATTTATCTTATTTAGTAGTAGTAATAATAGTAGTAATTATTTATTATTTGTATTACTGTAGAACTTTAAAGCCCTAGTGATGGACTAGGACTGCTTTGTGCTAGGTGTCTGCAAACACAGCACAAAAAGATCATCCTTTCGCCAAGGAACTTATATCCTAAATAAAGGAAAAGACACAACAGAGGGATATAGGCTCAACCCCAGATTGGGCACCGTACAAAATTACTGATTTGGCAGAAAGGATGGCTACGAAACTGAACTTTTCTCTTTAACAATTTGCAAACCTTTCTTTTAAAAATGTTGATTGCAGGAAGGGTTATTTCTGAGCTCTCAAAATTTTATCTGTAATGAGTTTGCAGTCATCATCAGGATTAAATCCTTATTCACTTAGCTGCAGTTACCTGCTCCATTATGTTGGTGATACTGGATGAGTTCAGGAATGGATGGAAAGAGGTGCTTTTCTGCTACATAATACTGTTTTGAATGGTTTTGCTTAATTTGATAATGTCGGATATTTCCACGGAGGCTTCTGAAATCAACAAAACATCAGTTACTTGAAAATAAACCATATTTTGATAGTATAAAACTTTGATTTAAAGAATATTTTGGATGAGAATTACTATTATACAATAAAATCTATGGAGAGGAAATATGAAATTCCTGTTTAAAACTGCTTGATAGAATTATGGTAGAGATAATGTTACGGCGGTGTGAGTAGGGGAAACAGAACCTATCTATTTGAATATTTCTCCCAACTCTAGGGATGAGATCTATTATCTCAGAGTTAAAGAGATCTTAATAATGAAACAGAACTTTTGAGAGCCATAGATGCTAGCCAAAAACTCCCCCAATCCCTTTCCTCCCTAAAGATGACCCTTTTGTAACCGTTTTGCAGTCATTTATTAAAACATTTTGACTTCCTAAATGTCTCTGATGGCCAAATCCTGGTCCCTTTGAGACCAGAATGATTTTTACTATTGACTCCAACATGATTAAAATTTGGAACCTAAGTTAATCATAGAATTATAGAACTGGAAGGGACCTTAACAGGTCATCAAGTGCAGTCCCCTGCTCTCCTGGCAGGACCAAGTATAACTGCCACCAGGCGGATTTGAAGCTGAGTATAGAAGCCTCTACCCTCTGAGCTAAAATCTAGCTGGCTTCTAGCCCATGTTGTAGAGGTCTCTTGATCTTAACTGTTGCTGTGGTCTGGGTACCACTTACATTGCTCAGTAACCACACTAGGTGTGTGGGTTACACAAGCACTTTCTAGAACAGATAATCCCTGACAGATGTCTGTCTCACCTGCTTTTAAGTATCTCCAATGATGAAGATTCTACAACCCCTCTAGGAAATTTATTCCAGTGCTTAACCACCCTGACAATTAGGAAGTTTTTCCTAATGTTCAACCCCCTTGCTGCAATTTAAATCCATTGCTTCTTGTCCTATCCTCAGAGGCCAAGAAGAACAATTTTTCTCCCTTCTCCTTGTAACACCCTTTTAGATACTTGAAAACAAGGAAATCTGTATGCCTGCCCAGGACATTAAAAGTCTTGGCTTTTGGCAGTCTCATACCCACTGTTGTCTTAGTCCTTGGTTGTTGTCGTGGGGCAAGTTATGGGGCAGCAATACCTGTACAGAGGGAGCTCTCTCTCCAGAGTGTCTACAAGCTGCAGGAATAAGTGGCTTTGAACCACTGAATGGGATGGGGGAGTTCGGGGCTGGCAGCGTCTGGTCATCTGTATGCAAATACTGTACCTGTTGTGGGGTTTGCCACGGGGCAAAAACCAAGTAGATTCAGACAGCACCACATCCAGCTTGGTGAGGTTGGTGACCCCAGGAAGCAGAGCCCACAGGGGCTGGTCTCCTCTCCCAGGGTGAAATGAGAAGACAGTGCCCTGAGTTAGTTCTATGTGGTGAGTTCTGGGGTCAGGTGAATGTGCCATTGTTTTGTACTTCAGAGAACTGCAATTACAGCTTCCTGGCAGCAGGGGTCTCTATGTCCTCCCTGCTTCTCTTGTTATGGCTACTGTGCATAGCCATCTTCCTTCCTTCCTTGCCTAGGCCTTGCCCTTGCTGGCTCTGATGATTTGCCCAGATGGAATTGGCTGACTGGGGCTTCAAGAAATAGCAGGACTGGAACAGCTTCTGTTCCTCCTTCCTTCCCACAGGGTGGCAGGGACAAAGGAGGGGGACAGGACACCTCTAGAGTGACAGGCATAAATTGGGGGCATAGCTAGGGATGGGTAGGCACCAAGGGAGATCGGATTATTGTGTAAGGGGAACATGCACTAGAGAGCAGCCATGAGGGGACTCTGTATAAATAGACAAATGGCAGGGTTGAGGGGATGGGCAAGAGGCAGCACTGGGAGGGGCAAAGGAGAGGTTTTGGGTGAGGGAAGGACTGAGGCAGCTTGGGGAAAGGAGAGAGTGGGGGGTTCTTGGAGAGACAAGGCTGGGATTATTAGAAAAGAGGTTTGTGCAAGAGGGAGGAAGCATTCAAGATGTCTGTGGGCAACAGGGGAGGCTGGAGGGTTTCCAGCAGAGATAACTAAGGAATGGAAGGAGAAGTTGGAGATTTAGCAGGTCAAAGTGCTGGCTGAAGACTGCTACAGCATTGTGTGGGAGCCAGTCAGTCAAGAACTGCACCATAGAAGGAGAAGCAAGAGGATGCTACAGTAAGAGCAGAAAGCTTGTTTGCTTATTTTTTTAATTGGGTGGATGAATGGGAATTATGCTGGAACCTTTTGGGTTTCTGAGAGTGCAGGTGATCATGTCATGCTGCATATGAATGTTTGTGTCCACTGCAAGTTTTGGGGCAAAATTGCTCTATTTAATATTTTGTATTGGCATGCACAGATTAATTAACTGTAAGGATTGTAATTTGCAGCAAGGTTTTTAGTGTTCCTTATATACACCATGAACAATGCTGTACTGTATTGTTCTGTACATGTGTACTATGCAGCAAGCAACAAATTGTAATTAAGATATGTTTTCATCTACTTATTTAAATTCTTAGTCATTTAGAGCAAAAATCACTTACCCACCAGATTGTGAATACACAGACATTGTGAGGGCTCCCTTTTGGCTTGAATCTCTGATCATAAATGCTCCTTCTTTGGACTGAAAATAAATTCAGATTTAATTTACCCTTTCTTTTGTGTATGGCAAAACATTCATATATGATAAGACATTCCGCTGATTACAAAATTCTGTTGAATGTCCTATAAAGGAGCCAATGGATGCTAAAGGTAAGGTGATAAGAATAGATGATCTGGTGGTTCCTTATGGCCTTTAACTGTTGACTAAAGAGTAATTTCTAAAATAAGGTAATATATTTAACAGTTGCACTGTACTGTAAAGGTATGTCTACATTGCACCCTCAGCTTAAAATAAGCTACTCAATTTGAGCTACACAAATTATGTAGTTTATTTTGAGTCAATTTCCTAATAGCTTATTTGGTAATTTGGTGCTGTCTACACCAAATTTGTCTACATAGCACCAAATTTCAAAATAAACCATTATTCTGAAACATCCCTTAATCCTCATAGAACGAGTTTTTTTTTTCTTTTACAGGTACGTTGGAATAGCATGCACGTTATTTCAAAATATATTTTGAAATAACAGGTGTGCTTTCAAGACACAGAATAGCTATTCAGGGATACCGGAAGTATACCGAAATAGTGCCGCAGTGTAGATGTACCCTAAAAATACAGATGAGAACTTTGTATCGGCAGGAAGCTAAGTAGTTTTCTGAGCACACCTTAAGAGTAAATATGAATAAATAAATGCTGAGTCATTCATCTGCATGTGGATCCCTGTTGGGCGATTCCCAAGGTATTACTTAATCCAAGAGAAACATTGGTGCCTTGAGACCCATGCTGATGTTCAAATTGTTCAAACTTTACTTGCATGGTTTATGAGATTAGAAAACATGCCTTACTTATACAGGCAGTCCCTGACTTACGCGGATTCGACTTATGTCGGATCCGCACTTACGAACGGGGCTTTCTCGCCCCGGAGCTCGCAGGCAGCGGTCCCACCACCTCGACCTCCGGGGCGAGAAAAGCTGTTCCCGGTGCCCCTGGTCTGCTGGGGACCGTCTCCAACAGACCAGGGGCACCGGGAGCAAAGCCGCAGCCGCGGCGGGTTCCCGCGCTTCTCTAAGGCCATGCCTACACTAGGGAAGTATTTTGAAATTACAGGCAGTCCGCGGGGTACATACAAGATAGGGACTGTAGGTTTGTTCTTAAGTTGAATCTGTATGTAAGTCGGAACTGGCGTCCAGATTCAGCCACTGAA